GCGGCAGAGGTGGAACCGCTGCTGGTGACCGAGATGCCTGGCAGGGAAGAACGGCTGCGTGTGTCTTGCTGTGAGCTACTTTTCTTTCTTTTTTTTTTTTTTTTTCCTTTTCCCTCTTTTCAGGAAGGAACACAAAAAACACTCCGCGGGCTGCGCTTTTCTCTCCCTTCAGAAAGATCCTACCAACCTGACACTGCAGGAATTCCTGAAGCTGGACAAAGAACGAATGAAAAATGCAATTGTACGTACGCATCTGTACCGTGATGTTCTTCTACACCCCCGTGACTCTGGAAGTGTTACTTAGTTTCTAGTTTTGGGATTGTTTAGCTGGCCTCTTGGTTCCTTACCACAGTACTGCCAAAGTGGTTTGTTGCTTCCCGACTCCCGGTTCTCAGCCTTTGCCTTGTGGGAGACGTAGCCCACTTTCCCCTTGAAGCTGAACGATGCTCAATTTAGTGGTAGACAGTAATATGTTATTTTTATTCTTTGCAGAAAAAAGAAATTTCTCAGAAGGTGACCGAGGTTGAAGATGCAGCCAAGAGTGTGCGTCGTGACATAGAGAATCTGGTCCCCTAGGCTACTGTAGCTTCTCACTTGCCGGTGACATCTGTCTTGTATGTCTGCACTGGCACTGCCAATTTGACGGAATGACTGTGTTTCCCGAGACTGCTTTCAGAATGGCCGTCTCTGTGAGAAGCAGGCTGAATTCTCCGTCACTCACCTGAGTCTGTCTGGGAAGTACCTGGGGTTTGATGCCCTGCATACGTAATCTTTTTTTGCAGGGATTCTCCTGTTCTTCCTGTTGGTTCAATTAAGGATTACTACTTGTGGTTTTATTTGTTCTTTTTTTTTTTTAAACCCAGTTGTTTCCATTTTGGAGATGCTGGTAGCTCTGGTGCAGAAACTTGTGTTTCTTGCAAGAGCTGGCAGGCACTTCCATTTTTATACTGAATATACCAATGCTTTTGGATACTTTTGGAAATAAAAAGGGGAAGGAGTTTTAAAACTCCTTCAGGGATTTAGGATTCTGGCTAATAATATCTAATTATACCAAATCTTAGTGTGCCTGGTATCCTTGTAAACTTCTATTTGTAGTTGGCTGCTGCCTCATGTTGGTGCATTTATAAATAAAAGTTGAAGGCAAAACTGCAAAGTAATTTTACTCAGTTTTCTGGAGGAAAAGAATCTAACCTTTAATGCAGTGAGCTGCACTGAATGCCATTTTAACCTCAAAACAGAAAATAAGCTAATCAAAGTACAGCTTGCAGTGCTATTACTTGAGTGTCAAACTGTCTTAAGCAGTGTTCATCAGGTCTTCTTAAAACGTCCTTGTGCCTTAGAAGGTTTGGTTGGTCTCTCTCCTTGCAGAGGTTTGGAAAAGAAAATAAATCCTGCAGAACAGAGCGCAGACAGTGAAGAATTGTGCTCTGAACTGCTGGGAAGGAATGGGGGAACCTTGTACAAAATAGTTGGCTGTTACAGGGCCTGAGTTGATTGTACGGGGTTATGAAGTCTGCAGACAGAACTGGACGCGTGTGCTTAGGTGCTCCCAAACTCAAAGAACCTCCAGCTCCATCTTGGGGAAAAGGCGGTTGCAATCACACGCTGATGTCCGACATTCCCTGTCCAAGCTTACTTACGAACAATGAAATAACTTCATTATTTCCAGCTGTAACAGCCAAATCGTATGCCGATTGCCCTTTTGCATTCTTCTTTTTTATGCTTGCATTGCAGCTGTAAGTAAAGAACAGATTGTTTTAAGCTACTTAAATTCATTCCAAGTTACTGGAATTAGTGAAGTGGCTTGTAGGTAAATGTTGATGCAGAGTAACTTCAGAATTTCTGGATGCCTCTTCCTGCAGGGATACAACTGTGAGATGAGAGCGCTGAGCCTCGGGCAGGCTCTGGCCCTTCAGTATTGCCAACTAGATCTGTGCAAGCAGACTGTGGGTAGCCTGTAGCTGAGCTAGAGGCTCAGCTGCAGTACTTACTGTAGCAGGACTCGGACGCACTCCTCTCCCTCCAGTCCAAGCAGAACTGCCTCATGGAGAGCAGTGTTGTTGTGCCTGCATAGGAGGAATGAGCAATGTACTTATTACTTAAGGACACTGTTCTGGCACATGGAGAAGTGGTCTAGCAAATTAAACTAAGGAAAATGAATAGGAGGATATAGAATACACTAGGAATTGCAGTGATTTTTTTTTTTTTGTAGGCTTTAGTGTGGTTTATTGTATTAAGTTGGAAGTGGATAGGGGAAGGAGTTGAATAGAACAGCAGCTTTCCTAACAGAAATTATGAGAAATCTTCAAAGCTGGCAGCTGAAAGAAGGACTGTGAATACTATTATCTTTGCTCAGTTGCAGGTTGGCTTTCTTTAAATTTGGCTTTGAAAGGAGCTTCTCGACTACAGATTTGTGGAGGAGAGGTGGGAGGTTAATCCTCTCTAAAGTTGGAGCACAAGTGCTTTTTTGGTAAAACTTCAAAAGACCCGAGGCAAAGAATCAATGCTCACTTACGGTCCTGACTGCTGGTCAATGTCAGCACCTTTCTGCACAAGAAGGGAGATTGCTTCTGCGTGCTTGTTAAGGACAGCAACTGTGAGAGCAGGTCGGTCCTCGTCACTGATGCAGTTTGGGTCAGCTCCCTGGAATGCACAGGAGAGGGAAGGTGAGCTGTTAAAAGCCATAAAGATTCTTCAGCTTCCACCTTGTTTTAGTATTATGCCAATTTGGTTTGAAAATGGACTTTATGCTCAAGACAGAAATGTTCAAATTGTGTGGTATTTTTTTCTTCATGTTTCTTCTGAAAATGTTTGTCATCTAGCTCAAAGCCAGAGTAAATGCATGTAACAAGAGCAATAAAACTAGATCCCACAGTCAGGATGCACCGTACCATACAGCAAAAAGGTAGAGGTTATGCTTGCTTTTGCTATGCAGAGGACTTGACCCTAAACTATAAAATTGATGTATTTTTCTTTCTGTATGGCCTTGACAAACCCAGAGGAGAATGGCTTACACACTGGCCAAATAGAAATTTGGGGAGAACATATACAAATGTAAAATAGGCTGCTGCTTCTCTAAAATGCTCTTTCAATCTGAAGACAGTCAGTTGTATTGCAAGGATGTTGCCTCCTAAGCATAAAGTTGAAGTTGCATACCAAGCTAATATTCATGCAGTAAATGGTCAGTGAGTTGGAAAGGGAAACTTCAGCAAGCAGTAACTTACTTCACTGATCAATTGTTCTACCAAGGTGATTCTTCCTTTCCCATTTGGACCCAGTTCGTCCAGCAGTTGTCTGGACTCTGGCTGTGGAAACACAGAAAATAGCCAGTAACATTTCACATAGTGAAAATACAAGCAGGTAGGCCGTATTCTGCCTTTGAGTAAAGGTGGAAAATGCACACAGTGGCATGAATGCAGTGTAGCTGAGCCTCAGTATTACTAATCCATGACCCTTCTGTGGGAATGTCTTTCTGAATCTGAGCAAGTGTTGGATAACCCAGGCTAATATCTCACTATTGAGGTCTTGATTCAGCAAACGTATCTGCAAATGATTAGCTTTACATCAATGCAGCTCTCCAGGGCTGTACAAACATCTGCTTACCACAGTAAAATTAAACATGGGCACAAGTTCTTTGCTTTAGGATTAAAGGTTGAAGCTTCCAGAACTTGTGGAAGTATTTTATTTTAAAAATTAATACGTTTTGCCTCACAGAAGTTAGTTTACTAAATCTTAAAACAACAAAGAAACAACAAAACCTAAAACCTTTTCCTTTTATCTCTTCCTAGCCTTCCACCTCTTCCTCTCCCCTTTTGAAGGCCCAATCACTTGACCAAGCATTTTTATCTCTGGACTCATCACAAAGCTCTATCTTCCTCCACCTGTTGAGTTGGCTAATGGATCCAAGCTTAGACTAACGCACGTTTCCCTTTTGAAATTTTCCATGCCATTACTGACAATCCATTTAGTAGGCAGTGCTTCCAGGATATTTGGTCTCTAGTGGAAATAAAGCCTTGCTTCTTGCATTAAGCTAGCCCTCGGTTGTGCTGACATCTCAGCTTGATGGGAAAACTGAGTTGACTTCAAAGCTTGTTGTGTAGATCATCTTCCCCTGTCTAGTTCACAGTCTGACTGTGCGAACAGTGGTTCTAGCACAGCCAAGGGTATGTCCTATGGAGTCAAACCAAGTAATAAGGGTCAAGGGAAGACGATAATGCCTCCATCTGATGTCGCTTCTGAGAAAAACCTGTAACAAAATCAGTCTGCAACAGTCTTTAGGCATAATGCTGTGTCAGTAAAACAGAATGGGTCCAAAAATGTGAGCAACAATCTAATTAAGCTCTTGGTAGCAACAATGTTTGGCTATTTCCAGTTCTGTAATAAAAGTCAGCTACCAATTTTCAGGTTTTATATTAAGTTGAACTTTTGTCCCCTTTCCTCCCCCCCACCCCAATCAGTGTTAAAAGCTTTCTGTTTTTACCCTTGGATGCCCTCCTTCATGTTAGTGCTGCTCTATAGGTAGTTTTTCCTGTACTGGCAGAAGATACGTACGGGGAGCTTATCTTCTTTTTCTGTAAGTGTTCTTGACTTTGTTCTCTTTATTTTGCCTCTTGAATGGAAAAGATTATGATCTTCTTTGCCTACCAAGAAAGGCAAACGAGTGTTAATTCAAAGCAAAGTCAGTATCCTAACAAGAACTTGGGGGAGAGATCTGGAAATAATTTATCCACAACAATATTTTATTTTGTGTTGAAAGCAATATTTATCAATTTTCTACAAGAGAAAGTGATGAAATATTTGTTGCAGATCAGACTGGTTTTAACAAAAGATTTACACTTGGGCAGACTTAAAAACTTGCTATTTTGAAATGAAGATTCAATGAAATGTGGAGTTTGGGGGGGTTGAGTCTTTTTTTTTAACTAGCTGCAGCTATTCAGCAGGCTTGACTCGGACTCATTATTTGTTTTGACCAAAAACCTTACAATTTTTCAACGCTGTTTAGCTCCCAAATACTTAAGAACAAGACTAGAGGACCTTCAGTAGATATGTATGTCCATTATTTTTAAAAGACACGATCTACCAATGTGCAGGAGGGTTGATAAGGAAATTCGCAGCATGTGGGGACCCTTTGAGCTGGTGCTACTGGAGTGCCTGGAATCACAGTCATATTATTGACACTCCAGGAAACCAGATCCCAGTGCCGTGGCTGCCGCTTGCCAAGTCTCAGATTAGAAGAACAAACTGGCTGAAACTTATACGTGAACTGAAGTATGTCAAATTATACTGTAGGAACTTCTGAATTCTAATGCTGACTTTACAGCTAGTTGATTTAATGAAAACCTGAGTCCAATATGAGATGCCTAAAATGCTGAGCTGTTACTGACACCAATGGGAGATGCAAGTTCAGCATCTTTGAAAACTAGGTCTAGAATTAACGTATTTCATCATTTCTTATCTTTGCCAAATGTGACGAAGCTGAAGTCTCTGGCACAGCTCAAAAGTAGAGATAATATTGACATTTATAGCTCCTATTGTAAAAGAATATGCAAAGCATCTGAAGTTTTATGACTATAATAAAGACACTGCTATGAGCTGCGGCTGCAGTTTACTGGCCTCTCCTGCTGTCCTCTAGGGATGAAGCATTCCCATGAGCTTTTGACAGAGTCTGTACAGTGCTTAAGTCTCAACTTGGCCACATTTTGAGACTTAAAGATCAACTTACGTAGGCGCAGAATGTGCCAGTATATTTGTTTGCCTATCTCAGTGTCTAACCTTTCAAGCGCTATTTCCGTGTTGTTGACTACTATATTTATGGTCTATCATAAAGACAGAGGGGGAAAAAAAAATCTCACCAAAACTAGTCTGACTGCCATCCTGTCCACCTCCAACTTCTGTTACAGTATTCAGGTAATGACTGCTGAACTTCACTGGTTTATTAGCATGAATATCCTGTAGAATCATCAAATGCAGGCAGTTAATCAGATTATCATGTAATGCTGTTACAATCTTAGTAGCACAAAACAGTGGTGTTGCATATGAAAAAATATATAGGCTTTTAATATTGGTCTCAAATTAGCATAAGACATTATTATATGCAACTGAACTGCTTTGAGGCAAAATAACGTAGCATTTTTTTCTAAACCTTGTGTTACGT